TATAATCTTTAGTTAGAACTTACATCTGTACAGCAAATTCAAGTAATATTTATTTAAAGATTTCTTCTGATTAATATATATTAATTTTTGGATTTTCTTTTTGTCAGAATCTCAGTGTTGTCTTCTTTACAATTTCACCCTATTGGAGCTGGTATAAAATGTCTCAAAGACTCAAACTTCAACCAAGATTGATTAGAGTAACAGCTTACAAAAATGGATCCAGAACAGTCTTTGCCAAAGTTATTGCACCAACCATCACCTTGGTAACTAGTGTTACAAAGATTTCAGTGCTTTATTTCTCTCCTTACTGTCTTAAAAATATTAAGAAAATTAGAAAGATGACATTGATTGTGCTAATATTTTATTTTAAATGATTAAATTTGTAATTCTTAATATGTACATATATCCTACAGACATTTTACTACTTTCCATTTTTATTAATATATGCATGATGTATTTCATGAAACAGCTAACATATCTTAAAGATGACAAAACATTTAAGGGCTAAAATTAGACATTCATTAAATATTCTTAGAGCTGTAATTTACCTTTTATTTCCAAACATACATCTGCTAGAAGATAACTTTATTGAGCGAGTTACTTGAGTTACTTGGCAGGTGACTCTACGGAGTTTCTCTTTTGATCATTAGAACCTTTTGTTTCTTGGAATTGTGTTATTTTCGTTGTCCTAAGTCACTTTGTCTTACCTCTTGCTTGCCTTTAGTTGCTGGAGGAGTGTACAGAAAAGCTGAATCTGAACATGGCCGCACGACGAGTGTTCTTGGCAGACGGCACTGAAGCCCTCAGACCTAAAGATATACCCCATGAAGCTGACATTTATGTTTCAACTGGAGAGCCCTTTATAGATCCATTCAAAAAAATGGAAGGTAAAACAGGGGAAAAATACACGACCCCCACACTCAGTAAATCGCTTAAGGGGTGCAATTAAAAAATGATTTTCATCCTGTCTTTTTTGCATGGTTTAACAAAACTAATGTTTACGCATTTACAGCTCAGTAAGAGGATAATGTGCTTAATGAAAGAAAAATCCACTGACAGCCACGTTTATTGCCCTTCATTAGCATTGGTGCTTAATTTAATATAGATCTGAATAGACATTAGGGAGCCTGCAGGAGGTTAAATGGTGAAAATATAATAAATTAAATCAGAGATTATTGAATTCCCAGTTTAGTTTCTGTGACACTCAACAGACATAATTCATTAGAGTTATTCTCTCAGAATATAGTTCAAAGTTTCAAGTATCATTTATTCATTTATACTCTTGGTTTTTTCAGATTACATTATCACAGTTATGAAAATGTGACCAGTAGTGAACGTATGATTCTTTTGTACATACTATTTTCCTAATACAGTTTTTAAGGTAGATGCTGCAGTGTTACTTTTTTTCTTATTACTATTCTTTATTTTATTTTCAGCATATTTGTAGATATGGTACTTTTAAAAGTCCATTAATTTTAACATTTCAGAAATGTGGAGATTTTCTAAAATACCTGTCTTTTCAGTTGAAAGAGTAAATTTTAATAGCGAAATGGAAGTATCAGCTGCCTGCAAGGATATGCTTCCAAGTGTGTCACACCCAGTGTCAGTTATCAAGTGCAATGTAACAGTAATCACATTTAAATGACATGAGAACTTTGCCTTAAAGATTCAGTATCTAACTGCTGTCCTATCTTATACATTCTGTGCCTTATTGTAAGTGCCATGTCCCCCTCCGCGCAACTGCTATTAAGCATCTGAATCAAGGGCAAGTCTAGGCAATAATTGCATAAGAAGAAGAAAATTAATTTCAGAGGTCATTACAGATAAAGTGATGAAAATCTATCTTTTATTAATGATATTGAATAAAATGATAGCAGCACTTCTCTCTTTGATCGTGCTTGATCTACAGAAAAAATGAGTTTCTTTAATTCAATATAAAGTTCAAGATAATTTGTCTTTATATTGAAACTTGTTGCTATAATCAGTGAAAATCAGCTTTGTTGATAGTGTAGGTCTATATATTTTCAAAATTTTGAATTAATTTGAAAACATGATTCTCATTATTTTGTTTTCAAGAAGTCATTTGTTTATATCAAAACATGAATTTTTGTGAGCACATGTAACTCTTCTCTGACATTTAAAAACTTATTTTATTAAAATGATCAATTATTTTTTATTAATAAGAAATTCTTATCTATTAGGTGATTAATAATATTGTAGAAGAGGTATATAAAAAGGTACTGTAACTAAATATTTTTAAAAATCTCCTGGACATGTATACCTAAAATAACAATGTTAACACACGACTAAACCCAGTGGATTATTTTTAAATGTACAAACAAATATCCTTCCATTTGTGGTGTTCCCCTCCCCCACCTTTATTCTTTCTAAAGCCAAGTCCAGAACAAAAAAACCCCCAAACTTGTCTGCTTTGTCTGCATATCTTTGGCTGTGTTTCACTGTGACATGCACTGCTGTTCTTTTAGCACCAAAATGTTGGCACACACTCCTGAAAATTTCACACCATCTCTTGCTGGATCAGCAAGCTTAACCCACCAAAATCTGGTGTTGTGCAATGGTTTTTGACTGATAATCAATCTTTATGCTGCTCGACAGTTGTTGCTGGGACACAGAGTAGAGCAGGTGGCAGATGTGCCTTGTCTTTTGAGAAAAGAATTGTAGGTGAGCTTGGACACAGACGAGCATATCACATGTCTGTTAAAAAGACTTAGGATAAGTATAATGGAGAAAATGCCACCCTTCTCTGTTAAGGTTATAGCAAGCCTACTTCTAGAGATTTGGTTTCTTTTACAACATTCAGACTATAAATTCAAATAAACAGATTGTATCTACTATCTATCTGAAAGATGGTCTTGATTTAGATAATTTGAGAGAATATTGTATTTGGATATCATAGTTACTTAAAAATATCCTTCTCACCCACATGTTCATATTCACTTTTTTGAATGATCTAAATCAGGTTAAGATTACCTCAAAACCAAGCTCACTGCTATTGACTTGATTTTGGTTCACAGTGACCCTGTGGGGCAGAGTGGATCCACCTACAGAATTTCCAAAGCTGTGAATCTTTAAAGACGTGGATTTTCTCTTTCTCCTATAAAGTAGCTGGTGGATTCAAACTTTCAATCTTTTGTTTAGCAGCTGATTTCTTTAAACACTATGCCACTCTGTTCTCTTCATGGATGTACCATAGAAAGAAAAGATGTATCAATAACTTTGGATGAGGACATTATTTAACAATGTAAATCAAACGAGTCATCCACGAGAAAATGTAATACATATATATATATATATGTATGTATGTGTGTGTGTGTGTGTGTGTGTGTGTGTGTGTTTATACAGGAAGACTAAATAAGTCAATATGTATTTTGGCAATTATATTTCCATCTCTGTTGGTTTTCTTAGTTTTTGGTAAAATGGTGTAGGTAGTAAAGATTGACTAAAAGACATTTCTAGAAAGAAGACTACATGGCATCTTTGATTTTCTTTTTTTTTTAAAGCTACTTTACTGTCCCTTGTGAGTATCACTGTTGACAACCAGTGGCACTGGATTGAATACAAATCTGGAGCTATTCATCAAATATTTTAACACAAAGCTATCATATAGAGGTCAGGACAAGGTCAAGACTGACATGTTGAAACACAATATTAGAATAATTCTTACATTTTAATTTCAATGACTAATCAGGAAGATTAATTGTGTGTGGAAAAGAACAGGAAAGTAAAAGTATTTTCTCTAGACTGTTGGAGATGTCTTATTAGGTCTTATAGTTCTGGCATTTAAAGACACTGACATTTATTAATGATTCTGTTCAAGTTGTGAAGATGTAGTTAATGAGTTGTTTAAGCACTCATTTTAAAAGTTTTCAGTTTCATGACCATGTGGTTTAGATTTTTTTCATAGTTCCTTAACCTTCTGTTTAATGATGGCATAGTGAAAATTCTTAGACCAGATATACGAATTTTAAGCTATCAGCAATTGAGACACAAGAAAGGAGATGGTTCCTGGCCTCAATTAAATAAAAAATGTTAAAAGGAAAAACTATTTGAAATTAATTTATAAAATTCAAGTTCTGAGTATATGAAGTACTTGCTGTTTTAAAATTTTCTTAGTCTTATATTTGGGGGTAGGGGAGGTTTGGGGAGGTGCCGAGGGGGGGGAATTTTCTTAGTCTTAAATTTCTACTTTTTCTTACATATTTTAGTATTTTTCTTTCTGAGTTATAATTTACAATGATTCATTTTGGTCCTGAGTTTTGTTACCCAGAAGTAAAACTGAGTATTATGAATAAGATCTTGCATCTTTTATATACTGCAATGTGAAGATGTAGTTACAGCAAGAAAAAGAATCCATAAAAAGAGTTCTTGATACTACACCTAAGATCTAAAATTAAACCTAGAGATTTTCTGCTAACTGCCATGTGATCTACAAAATGAAGTAATTTGCTGTGACAGCTTGTGATTGACAAGAATATGTGTGAGCACATTTAAAATAGGCCATCTTTTCATGTAGAAGTAAATGTCAGTGAAATGATGGATTCTCATCATTTTAATTATTGATGATTTGGAAATATTTCAATTCCACGACACACAAGACACATTCTAAATAGCAGCATAACACTTTTTCTCATCTGCGTCAATAATGAAATGTTCTGTCATATTTTGTTTTTCAAAAAATGCATTAGTTTAATGAACCTGCAGTCATGCATTATATTCTATTTCATTGTATGAATTTTAAACAGTTGTGTTAAAAGCACAAGTTTCAAGAAGTGACCCCCTACCCACATCACATCACAAATTACTATTCTAGCTGCTGAATCTCAAGACAGAACTCTGCAGAACGTGGTATGTCAGTGATAGTTTTAGGCCTGCACACACAAACTCTGGGCTTCATGAAGTTCACCTGTAGGGTGTTAGGTGCCATCTAGTTGATTATGATTTAAAGAATACAATACAAATAGTAGCCATTATTTAATTTGGGAGGCTACAGGTAGAACTTGTAGGTTCTTTCCTGGTTTCTCTATTATTACTATGTTCCCATCATTTCTTTACTAGGTGAGAGTACCTATCTATTTATCTTACTTCCTTACTTGTAGCTGCATTACTTGAAAGCAGAAAGTGACCTTATAAAGGAGGAAATTAAACCATTTTCTTTTGAGATAGCATTTATTGTTCTGTAAGTGAGGGTAAAACTCTGAGCATATATTTCATACATTTCCCTATTCCAAAAATCTTAAACCTGTAAGTTAAGCATAGCATATTTTTTCCTGAAAAAAAAATCTGAATTTTGATCTGAAGAAAATAGCAAGAGATGGGAGAAAAGGAATTTTTTAAAAATCCCAACTACAACAAAACCAAGCATCTAATTAAAATAGTAAAATCTCTGAAAAGAAGTGTGATATTAGAATTGGAGAAAGACTAAATCAGTAGCCTCCATTAGGCAGATGACAGAAACGTACTTGTTGAAAGTTAGGAGGACTTGAAGCACTTGCTGCAGAAGGTTCAAGAAACCTATGGTTATTCTAATAAAATGAACACTAGCTAATTGTGAAGCACTTAATTATGTGTTTTAAGTGTGTTGTTACTTACCCTTATAGCTTTGTGTTAGTGTCATAGGTCCATAACATCTGATTTGCAGTTTCTAATACAAAATCTTAGGAAAAAACCCTTTATTTAATAATTAGTTTGCATTTAGTAGAAGAATCTTACTTAATTTTGTTATTGTTTTGCTGAAACCAACAATAGCATTATGATAGATAGAGAAAAGATTGAAGCTAACAATGATTTAATCTTGCTTAGTTTGATAGCCAACACCCTTGGTACCAGCAGTCAGGGAATCAAGAGATGTATTGAATTGGGAAAGCCC